GGCGGGGCGGGGCAGGAAGGAGGCGGGACTCCGCTCGTGCCGCGCAGGCGCACCGCGCGCAGCCGTCATGGCGCTGCCGAGCTCTCTGAACAGGTATCTACTGCTCATGGCACAGGAGCACTTGGAGTTCCGCCTGCCGGTGAGTCCGTGGCGTCGCGCACGACTTCCGACGCGAGAAGACGGCCGGGTGGTGTCGGGCTGGGGTGACCCGCACAGCCCGAGGATGCGGGGGTTCGGGGGTCTTTGCGGGTCTGGGAGGGTCGCGCGACCCCGGTGCTTGGGCCCCTCGGGCGGGTGAGCTCGGCGGAGGGTGCGGGAGAGGGAAGTCCGAGAGCGGCCTTCTCGGCCTGGCTGAGCGTTTCATTCATTCCTGGGCCCGCGCGCCGGGCGCCGAGCCGGGTCCTCCTGCAGGAGCTCTTCGTCCAGCGGGCGGTGGAGGCAGAAGGGCCCCGGGTCGTGTTTTAAGGGTCCGACTACGCGGGCCAAGCCGGGTGGAGGGCTTGGTGGCGGGGATTCGAGGGTGCTGAGGTCGGGGAAAGTGTTACGTGTTCATCCAAGCACGCCTTCAGTGTGCCTGTTCTCGAACGTGCGGACGCTGGGACCGTAAGGTTGGCGAAAGCCATCTCTGCCCTCAAGGAGCTTCCCGTCGAGGCTCCTCACCGAGTGAACACAGAAACGTAGAATTATAAAATGGCATCGGTAAGTGCAGCCATCGAGAGAGGCGCAGGGAACCATGAGAGCGTGTGGAAGGGGAAGGGCTGCGGGAGGGTGGCCTTTAAGAAGGCCTCCGTCCCACTGTGGTCTGAGAAGGTGCAGGGCAATATTTTAAAAAATAATAATAAAAAAGAAGCCTTCCGTGAGGGGATGGAGGAGCCAGCCGGGCCGAGGAGAGAAATAAGTAAATTAGAATTGCAAGCTGTTCGTCGTACGGGGATCACCGGGTGCGTGGCGGAGAGTGGTAAAGAGACAGCAGGAGACGAACGTAGGTTTTACCAGGAACCGCAAGGCCTTGAGTACCCTGGAACTTGGGAATTTATTAAAGAGTTTGAAGTGAAGAAGTGGCAGAATCAAAACGTTTTTAAATATCACTTTGGCAGCAGTGTGGAGGATGGATTTGAGAGGAATACACCTGGAGTCGGAGACTAGTTGGGAGCATGTTGGAATAGTCTTGTTAATAGATTAAGATGCCTGGTCTAGGGCAAGGGAGAATGGGATAGGTTGGGAAAGGATTTAGGTGGCACGATCATTAGGGCTAGACTGACTGAAGGTAGAGGGAAGAGGGACCAGTCAAGGATGACTCTTCGGTGGATCTAGGAGCAGGCAGATGTAAGATTTACATGTTGTTTATGCTGGATTTGATGTGCATATGTGGCATCAAGTGGAGATGGCCAGAAGGCATTGGATATATGAACATACATAGAGTGTGATAGAGCCATCTGGACTGGCAGTAGATATTTGGGAGCCTTCTGCATGTGAAAACTAGGAGAGGGGATGAAATTATTTAAAGTGCAGGGTCCAAAGAGTAGTGGGCCAAATACAGATGTTTGGAAGCGTTAATATTAAGGGAAAGTCAGAAAAAGGTGGCCGTGAAGAAGATAGGCAAGTGTTGCAATAAGAAGTGCATGAGTAGCCAGGCTCGGTGGCTCAGCCTGTAATCCCGCGCCCTGGGAGGCTGAGGTGAGTGGA